GTACCCAGCACAGCACATGGCCGGTACTTTTAGTGATCTACAATTTGCCTCCTTGGTTGTGCATGAAACGTAAGTATGTAATGCTTTCACTACTAATAACTGGGCCAAGGCAACCTGGAAACGACATAGATGTTTATCTTGCGCCACTTGTTGACGATTTGAGAAAGATGTGGGACGAAGGGGTTTCCGTGTTTGATGCTCATAAGAATGAGATGTTCACCTTGCGTGCAGCTCTTATGTGGACCGCTAATGATTTTCCTGCATATGGAAACTTGTCTGGGTACAAGAACAAAGGAAAAAAAGCATGCCCCATTTGTATTGATGACACTCCAAGCATACACCTTGACAGTTGTCACAAAGAGGTGTATCTGCGGACTCGAAGGTTGCTAAGGCGCGATCACCCGTACCGTAGGCAGAAAAAGGCTTTCGATGGGAAAGCGGAAGAGGGGACTGCGCCTAGGCCATTGACTGGTGAGGAGGTTTATGATCGAGTTAAGGGTATACGAATAGTGTTTGGGAAAACAGAAAAAGTTGCGGACTCAACTGCTCTCTTTAAAAAAGAATCAATCTTTTGGAAGCTTCTATACTGGAAAGAACATGATGTTAGGCACTGTCTAGATGTAATTCATATAGAGAAGAATGTGTGTGATGCTCTTGTGGGAACGCTGATGAATATTCAAAGCAAAACAAAGGATGGAAAGGGTGCACGGTTAGATTTGGAAAAGATGGGGGTTCGTCCAGAATTGTGGGCTCAAGAAAAGGGTAAAAAGGGAAAGGAACAGGAAAAGAGAGATGAAACGAGTTCGAAACAAGGAAAGGGGAAGAGAAAGGGAAAAGGAAAGTCCACAGATGCGTTGAAGAAGAATTATGATGGAAAAGCAAAGGATGCCAAGGCTTATTTACCTCCGGCTTGCTACACATTGTCAAGGGTAGAAAAACGGATGTTCTGTGCATGTATGTACGGCATTAAGGTTCCATCAGGGTATGGATCTAACATGAAAAGATTTGTATCCTTAAATGGAGAATTGAAGCTGACAAGTATGAAATCCCATGATTGTCATGTTCTTATGCAAGTATTCCTACCAATTGCAATACGTGGTATTTTACCGAAGCACGTGAGGGAAGCTATTACAAGCCTCTGTTCTTTTTTCAATACAATATGCAGCAAAGTGCTTGATCCTTGTGCACTTGATGCTTTGCAGGCGGATGTGGTTATGACTTTGTGCAAATTTGAGATGTACTTCCCACCCTCATTCTTTGACATAATGGTTCATCTTATTCTTCATTTGGTGCGTGAAATTAAGTTGTGCGGTCCAGTGTTCATGAGGTGGTGCTATCCTTTTGAAAGACACATGGGTACATTGCAAAACAAGGTAAGGAATCGGGCTCACCCGGAAGGAAGTATGATTCAAGGGATCAAGGGTGAGGAGATTGGTAATTTTGTGGCCGACTATATAGCTGTTGCTGAACCTATTGGTCTTCCTACTTCTCGACATGAAGGGAGACTTGATGGTCACGGCACAATCGGGTCGAAACGAATGTCACCTGACCGAGATAAGTTTTTACAAGCACACCTATATGTGTTGCACCATGTTGCAGATGTTCACCCATACTTAGATGAGCACATGGCTAGTTTGCGTGATGAATTTCCATCGAAAGGTGAAAGGGCATTGATGCAGATGCATAATAAGAGGTTTGTGAGTTGGTTTCGTGATCGAGTGATGGGTAGAATGGATGAGAGTGTCACTGATACAGTAAGGTGGCTTGCTTATGGTCCTAGAGATGATGTTCGCTCATTTGAGGGATATGACATAAATGGGTACACTTTTTGGACTGAGCGTCAGAATTTGAAATCTTCCTCGACCCAAAACAGTGGTGTAACGCTTGTGGCATCGTCAAGGGAGTTTGCAAGTGCTAAGGATAAATCAGTCGTTGATGTAGAGTTATCATACTATGGTCGAATTCAAGAAATATGGGAGCTTGATTATTGTAGCTTCACGATTGCTCTTTTCCGGTGTAAATGGGTTGATAATATCAGGCGTAACGTCAAATATGATGACTTTACTCTTGTAGATCTTAGCCACCTAAATGACGGTGCGGAACAATTCATCCTTGCATCTCAAGCTAAGCAAGTGTTTTACGTAACTGACCCAGCAGATATGAAAGGGTCTATTGTGCTAGCCGGCAAAAGAAGAATTCTAGGCATTGGAGATGTCGAGGATGAGGAAGAATATGATGTGTTTGATGAATTGGCACCTTTCACTATTCCTAGACCTGTTGTACCAAATGACGTAGACGACCAAACCAATTATGTGCGATTAGACCACAACGAAGGAATATTAGAATGAGGTACTACTTTTCAGCAATTTTGCAATTTTAGGTGTTGAAAATATTATAAAATGACAGGTTAGCCGAAAATGAATTAATTAATTGTCATAAGTATTATAATTAGGCAATTTATATTTGATTTTATAACTGTACCTTACAAATGTATTTATAATACAACTACTAACGTGTTATGATTGTTATGGTAGGTGATTACATCTCATGGCGGACGATCAGGACCGTGTTTGTGTCGAGGATGTAGAGGATGATGATGATGACTTCTTTGGGGATGGTGATGAGTTGTATGATGTGAACTAGGAGCCTGATTTGGGTGAGGCAGAAGATCAGGCTCAGGATGAGTTGGAGCGTAGGCTGGATGCATTTGAAATGGAGGCTGAACAAGCGCCTCCTATTGAAAATGCAGTTTCTGAGATGGTTGGTGAGAACGCTACTTCCCACAATCAAAGCCAAGGACAAAGTGGAGGAGGGGTGAGGGCACCAGTTAAGAAAAAGGTGAGGGGTCCGACGACAAGTTTCAAGAAACCCGTCGGTCCCATGGTCCTGGAGTACGACAAGGCGAGCCAACCTGTAGGCAAATTCCGTCGTCCATATGCTATTCACGTTGGCATTTGTGCGCGTAAAATCTCGATTACACTTCGTATGCGGGAAGTACCTCCAGGCATGATTGACACATTTTGGAATGATACAAGGGCAAGTGTTTTATTTGCATATTTATACAATTATAAATACCTTTACTTTAATGTTATGTAAAAGGGGAAACTAATAATCGACTTTATTTTTGTTTGCAGAGTTTGTTTAATATTTCTAATGATGCCGCCAAGCGAAGGGTGTTTGAATCTTTGCTAGCGGAAAGTTTCAGAGGCTTCAAGAGCGAATTAGTTCGTTGTTGGATTACGAAGAGGAAGAAAAAACCAAAGAAGAAGAAAGGCAATGATGATGAAGTCATCAATAAAGAGCTACTCCCATGGCAAAAATGGCCAAACATATCGAAGGATGATTGGGAAGCTTTTGTTATTCAACAAAGTACAAAGGAAGCAATTGTAAGTTTAAGTAAATTTGATTACAATTGTATAATATATTATCTCTTTTTGAAGTAATAATACTAACAATTCTAATTATGTAGGAACTGAGGGAGCAAAATTCCAAAAATGCAAAGATGAAGCAATACACCCAACGTATGGGGTGTAAGACATTTGGTGAATGGAGGGAAACGTGGGTCAACGAAGGAGTATACCCTACTTCGCTACTAGGGTCGTCCAAAGGACCCTCTTCTTCCACGATCACTACGCTGGTGAGTCGTGCTGGTGATTTCTTCTATTCACTGCATGCGCGTGACAAGGAGACCGGAAAATGGGTCATCAAGGCTCCGAAAACCAAAGAAATGGATGATAAGCTCGTAAGTAACTACGAACTTGAGAACTCTATGAATATTTTGCATAAATATCACTTATGGATGCTATTGGTTTCTGTTTTTTTTTTTTTTTTTGCTACAGATTGAACACACTGAAGAACTGGTTGAAGGCAAGCTCGTCCCAAGTGTAGAAAAAGACCCTTTCACCTTGGCTTTGGGAAAGCCCTACCATCCAGGACGGGTAGTAGGTGCAGGAGGGTCATTGCTAGGGTGGGAAAAGGTGATGGGTCCAGAGTATACCAAATCAGGAAGATCCTGAGCAAGTGTGAACTCACCTCATGACTTGGTTTCCACGGTGGTATCGATTAAGGAACAAGTCCGCAACGAGCTCGTAAGTGAATTTAACGCTTGGGCGAAGCAAATGAACCTACCGAGCTTGCCTTTCCCCTCAAATACACCCGTCGACTCATGTAGTCACCCAAAAGGACAAGGGGAAGATGATATACATGGAGACGACGATGTAAATGAGGTAGTTTTAAGACTTTTAATTTTGGCATATTGAGTTATGTAGGATCTAAGGTGGCAGTCATTAATTTCTTGTTGCAGGGTGGTACGCCTACACATGCGAACTCGAGGGAGCTCGATAATCCAGCACCTCATCATTTTCCAGATTTACATGTGACTTTGTTTAGTTTTATCTTAGTGAATATGGGCACATTATCAATCTTAGTGAATATGGGCACATTATCAATTGTGTAGGAAACGACCCCTTGTGATATGTTTGGTTCTAATAACTGATCTTTCAAATTGGTGTAGGAAGAGACCCGTTGTGCACTTCTACACCCGGACGAATCTGGAGCTTTGCATGTGGTTGCATATGGTAGTGCACAACCGGCCGAACAAGGTACGGTCCATTTGCGACCGCTTAAGCCACAACATTACTCGGTTGGGATCAATTCTATTATTACCGGGTTCGAGGACATCCTAATACCGGTGCCCATAGAGGAGGAGGAGTTTACTACACTTTGGGCTGCAAAAGGTAGCTTTGTGCAGTGGCCATGTGCTTGGGTAAGGTTGATGAACCAGGTAATTAAGATTTTGGGTTCGTTCGGTACTTTATGCCCGGTTGTTTTCACAAGAGTTAGATGGATTTGTCTTTTCTAACCAATTGCGTGATTTGTTGTATTAGATTTCGCAAAAAAAGACAAACTTCAAAGAGGAGGGTGGAACAAGGAATAAGCGTTGATCAACCGGTGCCAAAGAAGAGGAGTGAACAAAGGTTGGAGAGTGAAAAAAGGTCGAAGAAGAACTCTTCGAGAGGTTCAGCTTTGCAAGCTACTCCACTTGTTGCTGACACGGTCCTTCAAACGCTGTCTAAAGATTTAACATTTCTACACAACCGTGTTAGTATGTTGCCTAGTGACACTCCCATTCAAGTTCCACTACCTAAGGCAATGTTCCACTTTGATGAGGATGCAGTTGCATGGCTTAGCAAAGAAGATGTGAAAGAATTTCTAAGTGGTTCAATGCTTAACATCTCCCTCGTTCAAACATTCATGAGGTAATTTAATGCCAGACACTATTATGTTATTCAGATTAGTGGTGATTGCTTGTCATTTAATTTCCCATTAATATTTTGTTACCATCCATGCAGAGCACTACAGGAGCACTTACTTGAGATTGATTCTCCGTGTCAAGTAGGGTGGTTATGCCCCGAGCAAATCTCCACTACTAGAATCTTAGGCAACTACCCTGACGTGTTGTACTATGTTAAACGGGGTATCAAGGAATCATTGCGTGCGGGTGACAAGTTCATATTCGCCCCATGTTTTGAGGAGTACGTTTGACCATGTCAAATTCATTTGTTTCCCCTAATTATATGTTGTACACGGCTAATTATTGACTTGTTTGTGTATTTTCCATTTCTGTAGTGCACATTGGACCTTGCTGGTGATTTGTGTTCCCAGTAACACCATCTTCCTTTTTGATTCAGCTCGATTGCCTCATCCGAAAAAGCTCCTCGTGAAGTCTATACTGCGAAAGTAAATATAGCTATCTAGTGTTGATTATCCTTACTTAACTCATTTATTATATTAGTCATACTAATCAAGTTTGAACTTACTTTTCTATAGTGCTATGAAGAAGATAAATTGCCGAGCTCCTCAAGGTCCTACATGGAAATCATCGATGGTAATGCTACATGATTTTGTGATTTTTATAATAAACAATGCGTAAGATATTACTAATTTGTTATGCATGTTTGATTCATTTACTGTGTTCCTATGCTAGTGCGCACAACAAGATAACGGAGTTGATTGCGGACTATACGTGATGAGATTCATGTTGGACATAATGAGTCATTGTACAGACTTACAACAGCTTGATGAGGTATGCCATTGACTTAGTTAATTTGCTTTTGTGGTGTGTTTTGATAAGAGAAAACCCTTGAACTGCGTCTTAAAACCCTTGAATTGTTCTTTTAATGTGATTTCAAGCCTTAGCCGCCTGTAACTAGGTAATAATGACATGTTATGAGGAAGAATGAGCTAATTTGATTAAAAATATAGAAAATAGGCATACAAGTAGTGATATAGGCCTTATTTCGGCCATTTTGAATGAAATTGCGTCTTAAAACACTTGAAATGCTCTTTTAATGTGATTTCAAGCCTTAGCTGCCTCTAATTAGGTAATAATGACAAGTTAAGAGGAAGAATGAGCTAATTTGATTAAAAATATAGAAAATAGGCATACAAGTAGTGATATAGGCCTTATTTCGGCCATTTTGAATGAAATTGCGTCTTAAAACACTTGAAATGCTCTTTTAATGTGATTTCAAGCCTTAGCTGCCTCTAACTAGGTAATAATAACAAGTTAAGATGAAGAATGAGCTAATTTGATTAAAAATATAGAAAATAGGCATACAAGTAGTGATATAGGCCTTATTTCGGTCATTTTGAATGAAATTGCGTCTTAAAACACTTGAAGTGCTCTTTTAATGTGATTTCAAGCCTTAGATGCCTCTAACTAGGTAATAATGACAAGTTAAGAGGAAGAATGAGCTAATTTGATTAAAAATATAGAAAATAGGCATCCAAGTAGTGATATAGGCCTTATTTCGGCCATTTTGAATGAAATTGCGTCCAAAAACCATTCAAATGCTCTTTTAATGTGATTTCAAGCCTTAGCTACCTCTAATAAGGTAATAATGACATTTTAAGAGGAAGAATGAGCTAATTTGATTAAAAATATAGAAAATAGGCATATAAGTAGTGATATAGGCCTTATTCGACCATTTTGAATGAAATTGCGTCCAAAAACCCTTGAATTGCTCTTTTAATGTGATTTCAAGCCTTAGCTGCCTCTCAATATGTAATAATGACATGTTAAAAGAAAGAATGAGTTGATTTGATAAGAAGTGTAGAAAATAGGCATGCAAGTAGTGATATAGGCCTTATTCGGGCCATTTAGGTTGAAAATGCGTCTTAAAACACTTGACTTGCTCTTTTAATGTGATTTCAAGCTTTAACTGCCTCTAAATAGGTAATATTGACATGTTATGAGGAAGAATGAGTTGATTTGGCAATAAATGTAGAAAATAGGTGAAGTAGCAGTCATATAGGCCTATGTATTAAATTTTTGCCTAACTTAAATTGTAAATGTATTTTTACATACATAACCTAAGTAATTAATTCTAGCTAACATCATTTTTGTTTAACCAAGTTTTGCAAGGTACAGAAAGGAGGTCCATTGACGAGCAAAGAGCTGAATGAAGTTCGAGACATGTTAGCGTCTTTCATCACATATAATTTAATTTGAACTTGTTAACTTATACATTAATTATTAGTATAGTTTGTAAATATAACACCTTTTAATTAACGAGTTGTAAAAGCTATATGACATTTCATTGTATCGCATTTATTGTTATTAATTAATATTTATGTATTGTTGTTATTATTTCAATGTAAAAATTATTATATTATTAGTATTTTTAATAATAATATTATAACAATAATAATACAGGTAATAATTATTATTATTATTACTGTTATTATAATATATATTAATGGAAGAATTAATACAGGATGTGCAGGTATTTAATTATTTTTAATTATAAAAAAAAATTTAAAAAAAAAAAAAACAGGTTTTCCCCACCGGTTTACACATTGAACCGGTGCCCAAAATAATTTCCAAAAACTGGCGGGCTAACTTTTGCCATCGGTTCAATGCGTAAACCGGTGGGAAATGTCATGGTTTTGCCACTGGTTCACCCCAAAACCGGTGGGAAAAGTCTTCCATCTATAACACAAATCACATGTTTTTGCCACCGGTTCACTCCAAAACCGGTGGGAAAAGTGGTTTTTGCCACCGGTATTGAAACGGTGGGAAATCTTTGAGGATTTAGCACCCCCCAAATCAAGAACGGTTCAAAACCGGTGGGGAACGTGTGGTTTGAACTGGTGGGGATTGGGGTTTTTCGCCTAGTGCTAGGAAAACGATCACAACTAAAGTATTTTTGTTCTATTCATCATTTTTCAAACATTTTTCTCTCTCTCACTCTTTTTTTTTTTTTTTTACATATTATTCAAATTTCCTTTTTCCAAGCTCCTCATACTTTCCTTTCTTCTTTTTTTTTCTTCTCTTTCTTGCATATGCTAACAACTAGAAACTCATGCTTCAAACTTGTCATACACTTTGAACTTATACCATCATAACTCTACTTGAATGTCAAAACAAGCATCCAACCAAAACTAGCTTAAGAAAACTAAGAGTTAAGGTTGTAGGGCTTGTAATGTGGCTAGTCGCCAAAAAATACAAAAACAAGCTCAAAGGGGTAGCAAGAGGGTGAATGCAAAAGAAAACAAGAAAGTATCGAAATAAAAGGAACACAAAAGAAAATGAAAAGAGCCTTTTTCCTCCCCTAAAGTGGCTCGGTCACGATCTCGGGAGCTAGAAGAACAACCAAAGATAAAGAAATGCATAACCAAGGATCCAATTCGCCGCTCAACAAAAGTGATGAAGGCATGAACAAGAATACCTCACACGAGATTTTTGTAACAAATACTAACTCGAAGATATCAAATCTACCATGAAAAGCAACACTATATTACCACTTTTTATGAACTAAGGCTTCATGGACCCTAAAGTTCTTAAACCCGGCTACCTTAGCATATGGTATACTAGAATCAACCAAAGACATTCTCAAACCATGCAAACATTTACCACTTAGGAAAGTCCACATTCAAAAACACAAGTCCAAGAAGAAATGTCCAAAATAATAACAAACAAAACACACTTTTGCTAAACTTGCCTTGAAGTAAACAAAAATCTTTTTGGATTTTTCAAAAGCATGAAAAAAACATGGAAATGCATATACTCATGAGCATGGCATATATTAATCAACCTTCTACCCAAGCATGATAGAAAATCCTCCCCCAAGCTTGAATGAGACCAAGTTCTCAAATCATAAACAATGAAACCAAGGAGGGGAAAACAAGGAGGTGTCCAACCAACCAACACATGAACCTCAAGCCACAAAAAGATAGAGAGAGGGAAAAAGAAGGATATTACCGGATATGAAATAAGTGTAAATTCACACAAAAACCCAAAATAACCTCATAGGAACCACAATCTCAAAAAAAAACACAAAAATGTCTTGAAATCCAATTGGTAGGAAAGTTGAGGTAGATTCTCCTTGACTCTTGATCCACACCAATGCACAACTGGTATATCAATGTGTGTGCCTAGCAAGGAACACAAACACGTCCATGAGAGAAAATCTAATCTAAAAAGATAAGAAAATGAAAGCAATAAAACACGGGTTCTTCCCAAGAAAGGCTTGCTTAACGTCCAAGAATAACCAATCTAGTAAATAACCCGACAAAGAACACAAAAGCTTGTCATATGCACCAGAAAACATATCAAGAAATAGAGCATACGCGATGCTCATATGACAAGCAAGCATAAAGGGCAAAGAGACTTTATGCTTGAGACAAGGGGGAAAAGAAAAAGTAAAAGAATCAAAAGAAAAATCAAGAAAGTAAGAAGAAAAATCAAAACTAAAACTAGAAAAGGGGAAGGGAGGAGCAAACTCATTTTGTTACTTTTTGGAAGGTGAATTCCCATCATTGAGTTCAAAAGAAGGGTCATGGGAAGCTAGAGAGATAAGGGGCTCCTCAATCGGCGGATGCTTGAGAAAATAAGGAAGTGAGATGGGGTAGTGTAGGGAATTTTTCAACTCATCTTTGAGCCCTACATGTGGTTCATGCTTTTAGGCATGGCGGCGTTCCAAGGAAAAGAAGCTAGAACTAAAAGAGTCGCCAACAAGTTTTAGGAACTAGTAAACCGTTCACGGGTGTGAAGGTTACACCCCATTCACAATCACGAAGATCGCTAACTCCATAGTGGTCCAGAAACCATGACTGGATGTTCGGGGATGATGGTACTAAAAGAGATTGAACTCGCCCTAAATAGGCCTCTACTTAATTCTTATGATATTCATGTGCGCTTTTCGATCAACATACATACATCAAGTTAACCCAAAACCTGTTTAATCTACGTTAGTTGATTATTAATAGACAATCAAATCTAATATTGGTGATCACTTGAATTAAAGTCATATTAATTATCTTATTTGGCGTGATTTCAAGTACAAATTCCCTTTAAACCTGCAAGAAAGGGACGTTATCAAGCAATAACAATAAATCATGAATAATCAAGCAACATATAATTAATATAACAATCATTATCATCACCAACATCATCAAAATATTGTTAATAGTAAGATCCTAGGAATGATACTAAATGGATTAATAACAAATCTTAGCATGTCACTAATAATCAAATCAAAGCATTATCCTAAACATGATACTAGAAATCATAATAAGCATCCTAAGCATGGTACTAGGAATCAAAATAATATTGTAAACATGATTTAATCGAATTACTTACTTTGATGCCTCAACCTTCTTGCTATTAAAACAGTACACACATTAGTAAACTTCAAGAAAATTAAATCAATGAAGTAAATAAATTAAATATGAATTGAAATATAGATTTGGGACCAAACCCTCAGAACTATCAACCTTTCACGCCGAGATCGAAAGCAACATCGAGGATGGCTAGAAGTATTCGAATCTCGTGAATGAGGTATTGTGACTGATTTGGGAGAATATCAAGGATGTGTTTAGGCTAAGGCTAAGAACATTGGAATTAAGAAAGAGAATTGATTATTGTGATGATTGTTGATAATTGGAGCTAGGTGGTTATAGCTTATGATTGATTGTTCTAGCTGATTTGAAAATGGGGAAAACGACCTCTATTTATAAGGAATAAAGAGAGTCGGAGCGATAAAAAAAGATCAGAATTTGGAACAAAATAAATAGGTTTCATCGCGGCGCGACAGTGTCCATCGCAGCGTGATAGGACTATCGCGGCGCGTTGGTTCTGTTGTCCTACGATGATTCCAAAGATAAAAGAGGTCGTACGGAGTTTGATTTTCAATAGAATTGGGTCAAAAAAATACATTCGGACGTCTTTGAATTTGATTGGGATAAAGAATATTAAAAGAGAAGTTTTACTTGGGTTCAAACTCTTTTGATCTTTATCTTTTCGAAAAGGATAAATTAGAACCTCTTAGAGACTTTTAGAAGTTCCTAAGGAATCCTAATGGATTTAGGATTTGGAATAAGGTATTTAGACGCTCACATGATCATTTGGGCCTTAGGTAATTAAGGTGGACCTAGGCTCGATTTGGGCTTTGTTTAGTATTTTGGTCATAACGTATTCGTTTTATGTCGGATTTGGGTTTATAATATATCGTTTGAAAGCTCTTTTCAAGCCCCATCGAACTAAACAATAATTGGACCACGATTATGGACCAAAATAATCTAGTTTGCACGTTTTTATGAGTTAGGCACGAAATGAATGATTTTAAAGGACACTAAATGAATGATTTTGGGTTTAAAACATGAAATGAATGATTTTGAATAAAAACATTTTAAGAAAGGTTATAAATATGGTTAAGGCTTAAGGGGACTTTACGAGATTTTCCAACACTTTACTGAACTCGTAAATCAAAGACGTGAAAGGTACTCATCAATAGGTTTGATTTTTGGGGAGACATAATCAGGTGTCAACAGAAACCCTCACTTTGACTGAGTTTGGAGAAACGTAAGCTTCGAAAACAAAAGTCAAAGTAATTCAATAGGGATGGAGAATGATTTAGAACGTTCTGCGATCCTAAATCATCCTTTTTAACGTCGATGCCTGCAGAAAGCGTCAGTTCCACAACTAAAGGAGTTAAGGGGAAAGAAACGCGTATATAGGTTTGCCAAGCACCTATCTCTAGGTAACATCAAATCAAAGTTTATTGTTTGACAACCTCCACATTCTCAGGGAGCTGTCGAAGATGCTGCTACGCTTCGAGCAATCTTCTCAAGTTAGGAGTGACAACTTCCACATTCTGAGGAAGCACTGTCGAAGACCGCTACGCTTCGAGCCATCTTCTCAAATCAGGGGTGACAACCTCCACATTATTAGGGAGGGCTGTCGAAAACCGCTACGCTTTGAGCCATCTTCTCAAATCAAGGGTGACAACCTCCACATTCTCAGGGAGCGTTGTCGAAGACCGCTATGCTTCAAGCCATCTTCTCAAATCAGGGGTGACAAACTCCACATTCTCAGGGAGCGCTGTCGAAGACCACTTTGCTTTGAGTCGTCTTCAAAATTGTGTGACAACCTCTGTATTTTCAGGGAGCATTGTGCTGTCTACTCGTCTCTTAACACAAGTGCTTACTCAAGGAATGTTCACTCGTCTCTAAACAAGAGCTTTTTCAAGGAATGCTCACTCGTCTCTAAACAAGGGAGGTTTTGAATGAAATGTTCACTCGTTTCTAAACAAGGGAGCTTTTGAATGAAATGTTCACTCGTCTATGAACAAGGGAGCTTTGAAAAATGAATGGTGAGAGTGCTCGATTGGCTATGAACTGAAGCTTCAAAGAATCGGTGACGGATGGTGAAATTGTTCGATTTGCTGCGAACAAGAGCTTTGATGTTTTGACAAAATTTCTCGATTGACTCCGAACAAAAGCTTCAATGAATAGGACATCTTGTAAAATCAAATATTGCAAAAGGACTTTGTTGGTGGTAACCTTGGGGTTGACCCAAGGCTTGGTGTACTTGACTTATTGTGTGACTCAATGTGCTCAAATCGACCTGATGTGTTTTGACACGAGTGTGCAGACTCAATTCAATATGATGACATGACATGACTCAGTGTGCATAGCCCGTGTGTGCATTGTGTTGTGATGGTGCTCGTGCAACTCGAAAATGTAGAAAAGAAAAAAAATTCTGTCATTTTTGTGGAGGGTACCGACTTTCTGCCTAAAAGAAACACGTGAAAAATAAATGAAGGTAGAGTGTTGGTGAAAATAGAAGTTTTCGAACTTCCCCAAAAGGAATAAAGATCAAGTAATGATGCATGTTGAATGAGCTTAATCAAGTGTATGCATTAATCGATGTATCTCTTGGTGTAAGGATTGTAGCATCCTAGACTATCTCAATTGATGATCTGATAATGAAAGTTATTGGGTAACTTAGGCTCGGAGGCTAAGTACTTCATACTTTGTGATGCAATGATGATTATGATAATAAGTGATTCAAAGATGACAACGCATGCTCTAGAGTCGTATCAATTTTTCATGACAAAGGGTTCCTAAGGGAAGGATTATTTGGCTATGTATGTGTGATGTGTGTGAGAGTGACACTAAGGTTAGGCTGGAAAGGCTAAGGGTGTGGAAATTTTTTTTGAGAAGAGCCAAATTAAATGATGGTGACTCTTAAGCTGGGTAGGCTAATGAAGTAGGGATCAAGCCCCCAAGTCTAGCTCTAAATGGATAGGGATGAGCATTGGAGATCCCTTGATATGATCATGCATGAATGTGAATGAACGTGATGAATAATTACTATGGCTACACCCCAATGTGAGGTTGCCTACGTATCCATTAGGAATCAAATCGAACGTAGCTTTAACCGAACCTCACACAAGTGTATGTACACCTCAAAAAGGTCTTTAAAGGGGTTGTAACGGAGTTAGGATAAAGGTTGAAGAAGAAGAGGATAAAGGCTCAAAACCCAAAATAAGCCCCCAAGGTGTGCAATCTTGCATTTGAATCTTGGTATTTGTATGCTTGAGGTTTCTCACTTTTGAACTTTTTTTTTTGTGCATTTGAGATTTGTATTTGAATCTTCTTTGGATAAGTATGGGCAATCCCGATCATGCGGTCTATCACTCACTTGGCATTCATGTTTCTCAGGCACGGTGCCGATTTATCAACTACCCGAATACTGGGTACCCGAATTATCCGGGACGGGACACGAGCCGACTTATTAACTACCCGAAGATTCGGGTACCCGGATATGAACACCCCTACTGCCGAGCACTCGATAAGAGACACAATCCGAGACGTGTTCATATCAAAAACATTAGAACACTTGCCCTTTTGCACACTTTTATTGCTATTTGAACTTTTGAAATTTTGGAATTTTGGTAAAAATCACTCAAGCTTTTGCATAAATTGCACACCATCCCATCCCAAGGTTAGGTAGATGTGGGTTGAAAAAAGAAAGGTTACTCGTTAGACAAGGCTTAAAGTGGTTTATCAAGAAAGGATTGTATATTTGAAAGGGGGAAGGTGATATGATGTGGCTACAAGGGATGCCTCAAACCATTGGTATACCTTGTGTTTAGCTCGACAAGGAATTTTTTTTTTCTTTATGGGATGTACTGCAATACAATGATCATATGCAAGAAAATAAATGCTCATTTATTAAAAATGGAAATGATAAAATCAAACTCATGAAGTAAATCTAAGAAGAATGGAGGATGCCTATGCTAGACTTATTGGGGGGAAAGGGAAATCAAAAATAAGCTAGAAAAGAATCATGAAATCTTGTCGTTGAAGCCTGCCTCGTACTTCATGCTTTCCTTGACCAAAGGTTGTAGAAAAGGAAACCATGGACATTTCTTGTCAATCACACGACTCGAACTCGATTCAATAGGCCCATATGGGGAAAGAGCATAGTGTCTAAAGGGAATGATATGTATGGGGAAGCATGAAAGAGGAAAGTATGTGAATCTATAAAAAAAACAAGGCACATTTTGACGCATTTTGTACATATATTGACCTTAAAAAGCGTCATAATTTTTCATTTTGACGCTGTAAAAAAGCTTCAAAATTTTTGAAGTCAAAATATTTTGACGCTTTTGTGTGTCACTTTTAAAGTATAGTATGTCGCTTTTGTGTCATTGCTTAAAAATTATGGCACTTTTTTGTATCATTGTTAAAAAATTGTGACGCTTTTGTGTGTCATTGCCAAAAAATTATGACGCTTTTGTGTGTCAAATTGGGGGCATGTATTTCCACCATCATTAGTGCCCAAAAAATTGTAACATTTTTGTTAGTCATTGTTGAAAGAAATTGTGACGCTTTTGTGGATCAAAGTGATGATATATTATTCCCTCCAATAACTTTAACACCACCAATAACTTTGTTGCTTGAGAGCGTCACTATTCCCCTTTTATTTTTTTTTTGGAAGGAAATCGATAAAATTAAGTTAGGAACGTATAAAACTTTGAACAAACAAAATATATTATATAATATGATATTTAATGAAAATGCATTTACAAAAATTAAATTAGATAAACACACATATACATAAATCCGTTGACATAATATAACACTATATATCCAATTCAACTAAACAAGTCTAGTACTTGAATGCAGAAATATAGATATTATCCTAAAACTAATGTTCAAACTAATTACACATAACTCTATTAAAACTACTAAATACCCGCACATATATCATAAAATATCAAATAAGATGTGCTTGAAGCCAAATCTGGCTTTGATTTACTTTTCACCATTGCTACCTACATCATCAACAATTATATATATATATAGATATAAATATAGATATTATATGTATGTATGTATGTATGTATGTATGTATGTATGTATGTATGTATGTATGTATGTATGTATGTATGTATGTATGTACACTTCGTATACAAAAAGAATATGCATAAGTTTGTATTCAATCACTAATTTAACAAGTATAAACATAAAATATTAAGAAGTACTAGTATTCACACATACATTATTATATCCAATGCAATAATTTGACCAAAAGACATTAATTTAAATGTTTATTTTTATGGGTAATTCTACATGGTGCTCTCTAATTTTATAATTTTCTAACCTTATTGACCATCGATGCTCCTCAATGACCCCTTACGCACCTCACCTATATTCAACTCCCTTACAACGCTCAATCCATGTCAACAACAAAGTGAGAAACTAATTCTAACTCAAAACTCTCAAAGGCTTACAAATTCAAAAATTTCAGATTAAAACAACCAATTTGAAAAACAATAAACTCATCAAAAGCTTTTCAGATGAGTGAGAAATCTTCAATTTAAATCAGTCTTTCTAGATTTGCTCTATTTCTGCACTTCTTTGTAGAACTAGCCAGTTTATTGGCATACAATTTCAAAATAAATCTTATAATTTTTGTGTGTATTCTACACAAAAAAACAACCAAAATATATAAAATAAAATAAAATAAAATAAAAGAATTACTCAATTCGGACAGAAATTGAAGGAGATATGCCCGTTCCAAATAGCAATCATAACTTGTTCGAATCTGCTCCTTTGCTCAAAACACCACCAAAGCTGCAGCAACATTAATCGAACAAAAACCACGCAACAACAAAATCAAGACAACAACCCGGCAACAACAAAAGCTTGATGTAATTGAACAATCACTGGAAATGCATGTAATTGATTTCATTTCTTTGTTTTTTAGCTGAAAAGATATGTACTTGCCTCTCCCTTGCCTCTTTAAATATACTAAGCTTGGATTGAGGCGCTTGACTTAATTGGTAATATTCTTATTAAGGATAATGTAAGGAAATTTAAAGACAACTAAAGTTGATTTTAATGTATAATTTGCATACTATGCAATTCTAAGCAATTCCTCTAAAATTATTAATGCATGCAATTTCAAGATTGCTACAAATAATGAAAGGAAGTGGATGAAAAAAGAAATATTTAATCCAAACCTGAGAATCAAGAAGTTGTATTGCATTATCTATAACTTCTAATGAAACATTTCCATTACGTGTTTCCTTTAAAACCTGTGCCATCATAGAGCCAATTGCATCAAATTTTGTTCCCAATATTTGATTTTGTTCTGCAAGGTCTTCATTTTGCTTCTTCATATCTGATAGCCACCTTCAACTTCTCCACTTCCATATCACTATTGTTGACATAGTTAGACCCTTCTTTCCTTAAATGCCCTTCCACTCCAAAGATGTAGCTTTGCTTCACACCAAAGCCATAATTTAGAGGACGTTTAGGGATCTCGCCTTGATACATAAGTTGATTGAAAACTTCAATTTCAATATCAATCTTGGGAATGGAAGAAGAGGAGTTATCAAGGCTTTCTTGCACATTCTTGATTGCATCCTCCTGTTACATGATAAGAAAATTTTTAGACTTAGCAAAGAAACTAATAAATCAATGGTTAAACAACTTTTCATTGGTATAGATACCACAAACTGACGAGATGTTGTGCCCTCTTTGAAGCTTCCATCTCCTTCGCTATAAACACTTTTTAAAAAATCCAATTCACTGAAATCTCCTTTTTATTTTTTCTGCAATGTGAGAAACAAACAGTACAAACAGTTATCTAACAACTTGGTAATATAAATGTTGTTAAGCCACTTAGAATACTATTAAAATTTGCTTTTATCTTTTATATATCAATGCACAGTTGCATAGTGTAGTGTGGTTATATTCTTTTTGTTATTTCAATGATACCCTCTACCTTTCTGCCCACTTTTTAGATTATTCTTTCAATGCTAGTTAAGTTAATATGACATATATGATTATAAAGTGACAACTTATGTCTACCATAAATCATCTCTCTAACCTTTTACCAGGAAGACAATTTGATTTATTGTAAACCAGAGTGACAATATATAGGACGTAACTTTAAACTCTTGATTGTCCTCCTGATGTCACTAAATTACAATTGTATTTAAATTGCAATTGTATTCATATTTTACCTTAGCTATTATAAGTCTTTTGTTTTTTATTTTTTATCTTTTCTTTAAATATAGTTCATGAAAAATCTACAGAAAATTTGGCAGCACTTCCCCTAAAAATGGCATAAATCAAAAATTTTAACCTTGTACAAACCTGCACAAAAGACCAGCCATGCTTCATATATACATGGCAACATAAACCAAAACTAAGTATATAGAAGGCATTTGCAGCAAATTGCTAAGTTCCAAAGTTTGTAAGATAGGCAGACAACATAAACACTATATGCAGTTTTTAGGACTAGATAAAATGAATGATAATCATACTAGAATAGCTCTGCGATTTGCATAGCTTTTAGCACCGCTCCTGCGCACAAGAACTTGTGACGCACGCAGCTTTTCCGAGTTCAGACAATTTCTGTTTTCATTAAAATTATGGTTAGCATGAAATAGAAATGAAGTTACCACAAACTAAAACCACCATAATCAGAATATAACAGATCTGCTTGTGTGATTGGTAGTGAGTTGGTCTGATGGAAGCTAGCCTCTATTCTCACTAACACGTGTACTGTGTGTAAATATAATGGACTTGAGATCTCTAAATCTTATCGTGTGACTACCTATCTATGATGTGATGCAATGCTAACATAAGCAAGCGACTGATTGGCAACATCAGGAAAAGAGAGGAGAGAATATGTAGCTTATTAGAGTGACAACAAAGGAAAAGATTTATAGCATCAGTAGCAGTACAAGAGGTCCATTACTGTTGTGTCATTGTGTATACTTTACTCTTTTCTCTCTGGTTTGTTCCTTCTAAAGTTACTAGATTTTTAGCTGAATTGGTTGTTTTAAGTTTATAGACTTGCTGGTCACAGGTTATCTCTTATGAAGAATTAGAAGACATTGTAGGAGGAGTTGATCAGCATAAACACATAACCGCCAAATTGTTACTCACATCTAGGATTATTCATTTATTATCTCCTACCAAAATGTTACTAACAACTTAAAAAGATACAAAACGGTTATACAAAGCTAATCTATAAACAAAAAATTCCCGTAAAAATCAGAATGCAAACCTTAGCGTCTGATGGAAGCCAATAATCAAACAGAAAACTCCAATTCTGAGTTGTGATTCCATCAGGTATACTAGCAAAGTTTTGTTCACGCGTTTTTTCCACAGGGTTGAAATAATCCTTCTTCAATGCATATCTATGATTCTTCCATGCTTTGCCAATACGCTTTAAAATAGCATTCTTCATTTCCTTTCCTTTGGGTAACAAAAAATGTGCCTTAAAGTAAATGTACAAATAAAGTTACATTAAGATTGATCTATATAGCATATACAACTTATAACGTGTCATACTACACGTGAGTTATTATTGTGGCAGTCACATAATTATAGCACGTCATTTATCAGAGAACCATAGAATATGTCAGGCAAGCAATAGATTAAAAGTGTGTAGTAATGAAAGTAAGATTAAATATTCATGGTGAACGATTAAATGACGTACCCGAACAAGGTTAACAATATTGCCTCTCATATTCGAGCTCAACTTATGCCAATTTAAAATCCCCACGGGACAAAATTCTTCTCGTTTAGCAATGTCTCCTAAGAAACTCACAAGGATGGAGCCACCTTTGTGAAGAGGTTGGTTGAATTCATTAAATTGGACGAAGTACCTAAATCCTGGTGCATCATTCCACACATCTCGAGGCTGAACAGAACCCTTCACAAGGTGTCGTTTTCCATCGACATCTATGAAAACAATGAAATCTAGGTAAGTATTTGTGTAATGAACTCATATGATCAGACCAATGATCGACCTTCGCATACTCAGAATAAAGACTAGAGGGGCCTTGGAGGAGATGGATAGTGGAGCAACAGTGATTGCAGCAACAATAGAGCAACTACATATCTTAGCATAGCAACCAAATTAATGAGTACACGACAAGGGGTTAAGTAGGATCCTTACGACAGCTTAGGGGTTGGTTCACATCAGTAGCTACTGTCGAAAAGTTGAAAACAAAAAGGCTTGAAAAAAGAAAGACAAAAAAAAAGAGAGTAAAAGAGGGAAAAACAATACAAATAGCAAAGAGCAGGAAAAAGAAAAGAGAACTGAAAAGAAAAAAAAAAACAAAGCACATAAAATTACATACGCATTTACACTTACCAAATGCCACAACCTCTTCTTCCTCATCAAACTTGACATGCTCTGGCCAATTTTTCACTATACTTCGGCGTCTAAGTTTTGTTCTTTTCACACCACTGTCCATTCCACCTGACTCAGTTAACTCTTCTTCACTCTCTAACTGAGATTCAGGTTCGTCAGAGTCATAATTTGACCTTATGTTGCTTTCAGCATGAATATATGCATGAGACCTGTCCTTATGGAGTCCCACTGAACCAGCTGTTCATTTGAGGTCGTGTCGAGGGTTGGCCTCCAAAAAAGGAAGACGTCATAGGATGCTTCTTTTGAGTTTGTTGCATAGCTTCCAGGGTGAAACAACTCTTCTTTCTAATTGGGACTTAGCTCCAGTCAAAGGAGAGACAATAGGTTGCTGTGTAGCTCCCACAGGCAGTGCACCAGTTTTAGCTCCAGTAAAAGGTTGTTTACTCGGATGTTCTGTAGCTTTTTGAGGCTGCTTTGATGCTTTAGTCAGCTGAGCTGTTTCTTTGTGAGGGACTTGTGTTGTTTCTTGTGAGGGCTGTGCACCAGTTTTAGCTCCAGTAAAAGGTGGATTAGTCGGATGTTCTATAGGTTTTTGATGCTGCTTTGATGCTTTAGTAGGTTGAGTTGTTCCTTTTTGAGGCTGTTGTGTTTCTTTATGAGGGAATTGTGTTTGTGGTGTTACAGATTGTAACATAGGATACGATCTAGGTTGTGATGGAATTATAGGAGGTCTTGATGATATCTTATGTTGGGACTTTGATGGCATTATAGTTGGCATGCCTGCTTTTGATGTAGCTATAAATGAAGAAGATGTAGATGTGGGTTTTGATGCATCTATAGAAGATTTGATTAGTTGCGATATGTGCCCAAACGTCTGTGATCTTCCAACTGTCGGAGGGCTAAATGGTCCCCATTGGGTGGATGGGTTAGAAGACTCGGATAAGCGTGATTGTGACACTGTAGTAAGGCTGGACTCAGATTGTACATATGTCGAAGTGGGTTGCTTATTCTGAGAAAATTGTGCCTCGCCAGGAGTTAAAGCAGTTCTTTTACTTCTGTAACTCATTCCGAGACACCTGTTACCAGAAAAAAATACAACTAGTCAACTACTATGTTAGTCGTTGCTATCCACATCAAGAGCTTATAATTGGAAAATAAAAAACAATACATATTATTTAGTGCTAATTAATAATTATAATTCATCCATAATACAATCAGTTTGATATTATGTATATCTGCATTTACAAAATCAGGCTTGTTATAAAAATCTGAAAGGTTGTTTCAGACCAAATTCCGTTGCTTAGTAAGTTATCTGACTCATAAGTGAACAATGGTTTCATACTTTAATGTGATGCCATATGCAATAGAATCAGATATTTCTTACAAATGCTTCTGTTTTTCAAATATTGCTGATGGTTACTAATATTTGAATTTTCAATTATTCTGTAAACAGTAAAAAAAAGAATCATTAAATGATGAATTAAATTATGATTATTTATCTAACGTAAAAGTTATCAAGTGCATATAATTTTTCAATGCAGTAAGCTGGACAGAAAGGAAATATTGAATAGGGGAAAGTATTTACCTAATTAAACCTCTTCGTTTTCTCTCTTTTTGACAGGAAGTTCTTCAAATGTTGCTTACACCTAAACAAATAATGAGATTATAGCTCCAATTATATATGAGATTGTTGGGAAAGGATTAAAAAAAAAAATTAGCATGTTAATTAAGAGCAAACCCAAATCATAAGGAAAACCGTTATAATTGTTAGATGGTATGAGAAATTCGATTGTAATTCAAAAATAGAATTAACAAAAAATAAAGGGATAAATTCAGCAAAAGAAAATATTAATTAATGACAAATATAAATTTATAATTCAATTCAGCAATTACAAATCCAAATTAAATAATAAAATAGGAAACTAATCATTCATTGTTGCTATCTACTTCGGGTAACTCATCCCCTAAATCAAACAAGTCTCTAGGCTTAGTCTTTACAACATGAAACCATCCTTTTCGTATCTCATCTTCAATGTAAAAAACCTGTTTTGCTTGAGATGAGAAAATAAAAGGATCATCTTGCAAATTTCTTCCTGTATGCATCAATTTAGAGAAATTAACACATATAGAGCCATTTTGATCTGATTTAACACCCCTATGTATATCTATCCAAACACAATGAAATAATACAACTTTGTAAGTCCCATAATAGTCCAATTCATATATATCCTTCACTTTCCCATAGTATGCTTCTCCATCAGCTTCAACCATGATTCCAGAATTTTGGGTTGTCAAACGGCTATCACGGTCCATGATCTGAAATTTATACCCATTGATCATAAAGCCTTTCATTTTTTTACCATAACAATTCAATCCACCTGCCAAAACTTTTTAAGTTTCCCATCTTCAGTGGTTTCATCTATTGAGTGTACCTATCATGATAAAATATAAAGTCAAAAGCAGTCTGCTATTTTTGTAAGAAAATTGAACACATTAGGATACATATATATCACCTGACTTCGCAACCACTCACCAAACTCCTTGATGATCCAATTACTTTCATCACTTAATTGGTTATTCATAACATAGAATAATACTCTGTTACTTACTCAAGAAGCTCTTGAATTTCATCAGAATGATGTAGTAAAACATAGCGATGAGCTTGTTTTAAGCTTTTGTCATCTAGACGAAAATTGACCTCTTTCCCAACTACTCGACCGCCAGAATTACACAAGTATTTTCCAAAATTGGGGCTATCATCATCAATTCGTTTAGGTTTGTTAAAGACATTCTTAACACCTTCAAGATATCTTGAACAAAACCTAATGGTCTCCTCTAAAAGGTAGTCTTCTGCAATTGATCCTTCAGGTTGGGCTTTATTAGCTACATGTGACTTTAGATGGGCCAAGTACCTTTTCAAAAAATCAAATTATAATTTCAATACAATACACTTACAGATTTCATAAATTAATTTAGATTATACATGTAAATAAATCTAACCTCTCAATGGGATACATCCATCTGTATTGTACTAGTCCACCGAGTTTAACCTCCTCCACTAATTTCCAACTCACAAAGGGTTAATACAATTCCTTCTTGAAGAGCATCTAGATTGTCAGGATCGATAGCAATGGAGCATAATTGCTTGAAAAAGTAAGACAATTTTGCAAGCAAATTAATAACTTTTGTTGCATTAGAAGCTCTTAAGGCGACGGGAAGGATATGTTGCATCAAAACATGGTTGCCATGGCTCTTAAGGTTAATCAACTTTTTTTGCTGTATGTTTACGCATCTAGAAAGGTTAGATCCATAGTCATCAGGGACTCTGAGTTTTTGTAAAACTTTTAAGAACCTCTCTTTCTCCTCTACAGACATAGAATAAGAAGTCGAAGTCATATGATTATCTTGAACCCAAAGATGTGGCTTTATGCCCCATCCTTGAAGGGCATCTCGATCAGCCTTCTTATCTCTGCTTTTATCGGTATTTAAAAGAGTATTTAAAATATTTTCACACACATTTTTTTCTATGTGCATTACATCTAGATTATGCCTTAACAAATTATGCTCCCAGTACTCTAAATCATAAATATGCTTCTCTTGGTACCAATGACAACATCATCTTCATTGTTACCCTCATTACTTCTCTTTCTTTTTGATGCCTTCCTATAAACATACCCAACGTTTTCTTGTAGCCTCAATATGTCAGTCCTACTAGGCCGAGGTGGAGAGCCTCAATATGTCAGTCCTACTAGGCCGAGGTGGAGCTTCACCAAGCTCTTCGCTTCCGTTAAAACTGTCACTCTCAAATCGATATGGATGACATGGCGGAAGCCATTTTCAATACCCACAATAACAAGTCTTACTCCCAAATTTTTTAGAAGGAGTTGAATCAATGCATATAGGGCATGCCTTATAACCTTTGGTGCTCAGACCGAAGAGCATTGCATAAGCAGGAAAGTCATTAATAGTCCAAAGCAAAGCGGCTCCCAATTTAAATTTCTCTCCATCATAAGCATCAACCCCACTCCATAACAACTTCAATTCATGGACTAGTGGCTGCAAATACACATCAATGTCAATTCCGGGACTTGTTTTACCGGGAATGATAATAGACAGCATGAACGAAGATGGTTTCAAACATAACCATGGTGGAAGATTATAGGGAATCAACACCACAGGCCATGTACTATAGGTCGTGTTCATCAAACGATATGGATTAAACCCATCACTTGCAAGTCCTAATCGAACACTACGAGGATCTGAGGCAAAATCCTCAAAACGTTGATCAAACGATTTCCAAGCTAATGCATCGGAAGGGTGCCTTAGCATCTTCTTATCAACATCATTCAATTGATCATTATGAGTATAATGCCATCTCATGTCTTCCGCTGTTTTTGAGGACATGTAAATTCTCTTCGGTCTAGGGATAAGAGGGAAGTAACGCATTAATTTAGTTGGCTCACAACTCCTAGAAATAGTCTTATCTTGATCTCTGACATTATCATTTGTACCCTTATTTTTCTTCCATCTTGATGTACCACAAACATGACACTTTTCTTTCTCTGAAAAATCACCCCAATACAACATACAATTATTTGGACAAGCATCAATCTTTTCATACCCTAGGCCAAGGTCTTTTATTATTCTCTTACTTTGATAATAAGACGAGGGAACTCGAGTATTTGGGGAAATGCGTCTATGAGAAGCTCGAGTAGCATATTAAAGGATTCAGTATACCAATGACTCATACATTTTATGTGAAAAAGGTGTAAAAGAAAAGACAGTTTGGAAAATTTAGTACACCTGTCATACAATTTCTCATCAGAAACATCAAGTAATTTCTTATACTTAGCTTCGTCTTCCGTTGTTGAAAATTCTAAATCAGCCTCCTCTTCATCAAAGGCAGGTTCTTCAAGATACTCGTCATTTTCATTATTTTCATGTGGTTCAAAGGTTAGGTCACTTGAGGGTTTTTCAAAACTAAAAGCTGATCTCAATAGGCCTCCTACTCGACCTTCAAACCTTGTTTGATCTAGAGGGGATCCTTGACTAGTACTCCCTCCATCACACCCAATCATACGCTGAAGCAAATCCCCTTAACCATGAAAAATCCATTTCTTATATGACTTATAAAACCCATTAAACAAGATATGTCTTTCCACTTCATTTACAGAAAGCCATTTATCCACTTTACATGTCTTACATGGACATCGAATCTTTCCTTCTACCTGAGCTACCTTAGCAAAGTTAATGAATTGCATACAGCCTTTGACATATTAAGCGTGGCTTCGTGGAAGTTCTATCCAACTTGTATCCATATCTATACATAATTAATACTTTAATAAGGGATACTATAATTTTGACCAAATAAATAGAAAATTTTAAAACGTACTTATCAGAATAAATATCAATTTCTATACAAACTAAAATAAAGTAAAGCAATGTAAGCTATATGTTTAGGTTATACTTGTGTAATTTAATCTATTTCATTTGTACTTTACCTTTCTTATACAACTTGTACTTTTGCATTAGGCCCTGACTATATAAGTTAACTACTATGCTACTAAAACTTTAGAGCAACTAATAAAAGCTAAAATAAAATGGGCATGCATTAAATAATAAGTGGTATTAGTTTTAAGAAGATGCTTTGTATTCACATCTATAGTTCTTTCAATTGTAAATAGATCTCAAAATCTTAAGCAAATAATCCAAATTTCAATAGTTTAATTTCTTATCCTAAACTTTTAGAATTACAGCAATTATACACAAAGGACATATTTAGAGCTTTGGGAAACAGTAATACATCACAATAGGAAGCCACAAATGTTTGAATAAATAATAAACACAAATCAAGTTACTAGCATGATAACAAATCTTAACAAGTAGCATGCAAATATCGAAGATAATGTAAAGAATAAGCAAATAATTTGATTGTTAAACTCTTACTTCTAAAAAAATATATACAAGATTCTAAGTAACACAACATAAAGTATTATGTCATTAAAAATATAGAGTTTCTCATTCAAATATTTACCTCTATTATGCCCTTTGACAAAGACACAACCAAGAGAAGAAGATTCTACACCATCTATAAAATTCGACTTCTACAAATAATTTCTCTGTCAATCACCAATAAACACAGAAGTCAATACTCTTTGTCAGCATAGTATGTATAAAAAAAATATTAAAGAAAGTAGACTTAACACATTCAGGAAGAATAAAGGCTGATTTAAATCTTCCTATAATACAATCAGTTTATATCATAGAGGAAGGACAAAGGCTAGATTGGAGGTTGACATTAGTTAAACAACAGAAGCATTAAACTTGAAATACAAGATATCATTATTTGAGATGATGAAGCATGACTAAACTTGAACACGTAAGTTTCAAGCACATGGCAAACTAGTAATTTCTAGCTTCTAATACGCATTCCATAACCCTTGTTATTATTTCCCTCTCTGAACCTTTTCATATTTATGATTTGTTCTAACAGTTATGTAAAAATTGCAATAAAGGCTGATTTAACTCTTCCTATAATACAATCAGAACAGACAAAGGAAAAGCAATTTGAACTTCCCTCTCCTAGTCTCCTCCACTCCCCAAGAAAGCAGCATAGACTAGAGGATCTAACAATAGAACCTGATATTAATGTGAATTTCTTGCTTGCTTCAACCAAGTATTCATACCGTTTATAAAAATCCAGTTCACTCAAGCTAGTAAGGTACCAAATTTTATATAAATTTCAACACATATTGGACCATTAACATATATAATTCACTTGCACGTATATCTCAAGGTCCTTACAAAACCTAGCCCTATCAACTGATGTAGCTGTCATTGTTTCTAGGCTATTAGAAGTTAGCTTTCAAACTTTGGTGTTTTATAAAACAAACAATTAGATTGAAATAGAATGAAAATAAATATGGAGTAAATTATTAACCGCTCAAAAAACCTTTTCTTTAGCTTTTCCAGAACATTAATTTATCCTTTAAATCCTACTCCAAAATACTACTTCATCAAAAGCTGAATTTTGCAGTTATGAGAGTTTTGAATCGGTCAAAATTATTAAGAGGCTATTGCCAAACACGGCCTTAAAATAGATGAGAAGAGTCTAAAGCATTATAAAATGCAAACTGATCACAATGTATAAAGAATGAAAATATTAACAGGCACAATGATCTTAAAATATAACTGTGATAAATGATTTCAAGGGTTTAAGATCCAAGATGAAATATGAGACCATGCACATAGTACAAGGGAGAAACAACATTCTTACCCCAAGACCAAAAGATCCGTAAGTTAATATGCAAGCTGATGCATCTCTAACAAATTTTCAGGAAGTTTCCTCTGCCAAGCAACTTTTGTGATCCAATGCTGAACAATCTACAGGACAAAAATGATCACCATGAGTTAGTGAGTCCACGGACACAAGCACAGATAAAATTAGATGTGTAGAACACAAAGAAAAAGCAGCTGCAGTTCAAATGACTATCAAATTTGATAAAACATTAGTCGTATGAGGTGGAGACATACATGAGTATTATATAGAATAACACTGTTAGCAGCTTAGCTTCTAAAGCACTGCACAGAAGCATAACTATAAAACTGAACCATACCCTTGAACAACATACTAAAAGTTGTTTAAGAAGCCCACTGCTATATTGTTAACATAAAATTTACTCCAAGTGGGGCTACCGGGCAAGAACTCTTCAGTTCCAAATCCTAAATTGGTGAAGTGGTAAAAGATCCAAGGAAAATAGAGTCAGTGGTCTCTGCTGTTAGCCCATATGTTTGCGCAACCATGTATGATTTAGATTTAAAAACACTTGGACATACCAAGCAACATAAGGCACATATGGTCCCTGTGAGTAAAGCAGTGCCGGAAAATGTTTTGGCCAAGTGCCTTAACAGAAGCATCGGCCAGGATATTGCATAATGTAGAGAGGATGATGTCAAATGCAACATATGCCAGGTTTGTATCCTCTATATATTTTGTATTTTCATTTTTAATAGTCTATTGACATGGCCACATGGGAATCAAGAAAATGGGAAGCTGGTTAATAGGAAATCTAAATTCTGCTTTTACTTGGTTTTGAAAGACTACTTTTATAATTAGGTGCATTGAAATCACATGTTGCTACTTAAAAGCAAAGTTTTAACAGTTTAATGAAATAAAAACTATTCTGAAATCCATTTAGCACCTATAAAAGAGCCGAATGAAACACTAATTCTATAGAGGCGGATTAAACAAAGCATTGATATATACATATATCCAATTGCTCCAAACAATTGCTATCAACCTTACAAAGAAAAATCTAATTGAGGCAAAATATACCAAAAAAAAAAAAAAACATACAATCAGTCATGTTAATTTAACAACTGAGTTTGATTAGAAGTATTAAGTAAATGTAGCCGTACATTTTTTTAAAAAAAGTAAAACTACTTGAATTTCAATGAACAAATCATGGAATAGCTAACATGCAGAAGCAAACATGCGACCTATAATCCAACCAGCCAAGGCTAAAACTAATATAATATGTATAAATCTGAAATTTAACAAAAAGTTACAGTTTTTATTGAAAAATATGCACAATTGGAGCAACAATGGCAAATGGGTAACCAATTCTTCACCAATAAAAAAAGTTAGAATATAATTAACCAATTTAATAACTCAACCGATTCGTTAATTCAGCCAATTCTTCAACAATAATCAAAGTATAATCTTGCATGCAGCAATCAGCATACCAAAGAATTAAAGAAAAAAAAATTTAAAAAAAAAAAAACTTACATGATTATTGGGCTTGAATCTCGATAATTTTCTCCAAGAAACTAGAGAACCGATGAATCCAAAGTGAGAACACCAAATTAAATTCCCCAAAAGCACAATTAAGAGACAATTTTTTGGCAATTTGTGAACAGTAGTATGAAATTCACATATCTGAAAGTCACATTGTACGCATCATATATATAGAAAAAAAAAATTAAAGAGGTTAGAGATCAGATAAGTGGGTTGAGATGATTTTACGCTAACTGAAAGCAAAGAATTGGGGATTTTTTTTGTGAAGATTCAAAATTTTGAGGCGAATTTCTGAGCGGCGATCAATACAGGTGGTTATTGAGGAACAACGAAAACCGTGGGAGCTGGTGCTATGGGGTCATGGGGAGATAATCCCGGGATATTAAAATTTTCATTTTGGTTTAAATTTAAGTTTAGCGGGTTGAGTAATTGATAGATGGGTGACACGTTTCTCTATCTTGTAAATAATGACGCTTTTGGCATCATTATATATTTTGACTCTGAAAAGAGTCAAAATATATTAATTACGTATTCACGGACGGAGAAAATTATGACCCATTACAAAAGCATCAAGGTAAAGGCGTCAAAATTTACACCAATTTCTTGTAGTGATGTGGAAAGTGTCTAAGACGAAAAGTGTAAGATATGTAATGTATGAAATGTGATGTAGAAGGAAAGGGTGTATTTATGGAAAGACATAGAAATTTCCGGAAATGGGAAAGACCCTCAACTCGAATGACGAAAAAGATGACTCATGCATGGACCTAAGTCATGGCCATGGTGTGAAAAAAGTATGTACAAAGTGTGTGCAAAGACTCGTGAGTGAAAGTGATATTTACGAGACTCGTGTCATGACCATGTGACTAGACATGTGGTTAGACTGTATGTAAAACACATATGGGTTCAGAAAGATCGAAAAAACTTAATCAGAAAGTAAAATCAACGAGACAGTACTAGAATTGAGCCAAACACGAAGACAGAAGGCTGGCGTAAAATCGCCAAATCCATCGCTGGAAGGTAGGTTCCATCTCCCGACGATAGCTTTATCGCGATGTGATAAGACTATCGTCCGGCGTTGGTTTCCAACATCCTGCGTAGTTCTGATGTTCAGCGGCAGTTTCAATTTTCGATGTATTTTTCGATTTTTCGCAACGTCGCTTCTATTTTAGTTGTGAAAAATATTCGCGGTCTTTCCTACGTGTATGTCCTATGTTTTTTACATATTACAGATGGTCTATCCAATGGGAACTTTTTTATGCTTATACAACAATGTTAATCAAAATTAAAATTATGCACATGAATATCTAGAATCTTTCAAGTCTCATCCACTCATTCTAAATCAATTGCAAAATAAATTTAGGAATCAATCTAGAAATCCACCCTAGTGGAGTCGCCAAAAACTGTAGGGTATTTTTCATCTCATCTTTGAGCCCTACATGTGGTTCATGCTATTAGGCATGGCGATGTTCCAAGGAAAAGAAGCTAGAGATAAAAGGGTCGCCAACAAGTTTTAGAAACTTGTAAATCGTTCGCGGGTGTGAAGGTTACATCCCATTCACGATCACGGAGACCGCTAACTCCATAATAGTCCGGAACCATGACTGGACGTTCGGGGATGATGGTACGAATCAAACCTAAAAAGAGATTGAACTCGCCCTGAATAGGGGGATATGTTAAACATCGCCCACAAATTACTACATAAAGCCCACAAAATTCACTTGGTTTGACAATATTGCCCTTGACCCTAAAAAAAAAAACACTCACACTCTCATCACTCACACTCTCATCGCTCATCTTCTTTCAACCTCTCTAAAAAAAAAAAATTTCAAACAACGGCGATGTCGAGGCGGCAAGGCAAGGAATTGGCGGCGGCGGCGGAGGGAAGGAGGTCCCAAGGAGGCAAAGTACAATTTGTAAAAAAAAAAAAAAAAAAAAGGAAAAACCGCCGTGACGTAGGTGGGGCGCCCTGGCTGGACGCCCAGCAAGCGGTGGTGGCGCCAGCTGCAGACGCCGCCACCAGGAGGCTGGCGCCTGGGCTGGAGGCCATAGCCACGGTTGTGGCGTTTATTCAAGGCGCCGCAGCCGTGGCTGTGGCGTCCAGCCCAGTCGCCAGCCCACTGGTGGCGGCGTCTGCAGCTAGCGCCACCACCGTTGGCTGGGCGTCCAGCCAAGGCGCCCCCCCCCCTTTTTTTTTTATATTTGTTTTAAAATATTGTTTTTTTTTTTTTTTTTGTAATATATTTTTGAATTGTTTTTATATTTTGTTGTTTATTTTTATAAATTTTTTCAATTTTGTTGTATTTTTTCTATGTTTATATTTTGTTTACAATTATTTGTATGTTTTTAGTTTATTTGATTTGGGAGTGGTAGCTATTTTTCGTATAAATTTTTGTATGTTTATATATTTTAAAATTTTAAGTAGAATTCACTAGGTCGTCATGGTGCGGGGAAGAATGTAGAGCTTCTTAGTAGAAGCTATTCAGTGGAGAGGTCGGGGCATAGACATGTCAGATCCCGTGGTATTTCGGCCTCAGCTCGTAGAGAACGGATCCACCGTCGGGATGAGGATGACGATGACGATGATGATGCTGAGGAGGGTGACCAGGAGGAGGAGCAGGAGGAGGGCGCAGATGAGGATGAGGATATGGACGATGGCAGTGGACCGTATGATGATTACGGTCCATTCAGTCAGAGGGTTGATGACATGTACGAGACACATATGGTGGAGGTGCGTAAGGGTAGGGGTGGTAGGTTTGTTAGTAGATCTGGCACATCATCTGCGTCCACTGTATCTGGGGCAAGCAGGAAACGGTCGAGGGCCGGTAATGATTCTTGGGTTGTTAGGAGTGAGGTGCCCGGTGGGCCTGTTGACGGGATTGTGATTCCTAGCTTTCTAGGACACATAGCTGCCCGTATTTGGGAGGACCAGGAGAGGCCTTCAGTTACGGGGTTGTTGAAATGTCATACCCGGGAAAAGACTTGTAGCTTTTTGCGTACATGGGCTGAGGCTTGGCCGGCGGAGAGCGAGATGTTCGAGCGACTGGAGGGCACTGGGGTGAATCACGTTCCTGCCACCATGCACGATAAGATTGACAGTACGCTGATCACGGCTTTCATTGAGCGATGGCAGCCGGATACAAACTCTTTCCACCTTCCGTTCGGTGAGATGACGATCATGTTACATGACGTCGAGGCCATTCTGGGGATTCGTGTTGAGGGTAAACGACTACGTGATTGTGCCTGGTGTAGCAGCTGCTGTATAGGGTTCCTTCCCTCTGACCGTTCAAACCTGAGTTGTTGTCTGACGTTGTAGATGTGTCTTCGGTTTGGATGGTCTTCTGGAAATTTCTCTAACATAGATGCTAATATTTTAGCAGGCTTGACTTGAGCATCACTCATTTCTTTCACAACTAGTTTCGCAGCAGGACTTAAGCCGCTCAGTTGTCGATGACCCTCTTCATATACTATCATCTCATGGTTGTGATACCCCCATTTAGAGTAACCAATCACTTCCCAACCGTCACGACTTCGTAGTTGTCGAACCTTTACTCTGAACTCACACCCACAACCTTTCCGCTTTGTATCAAACCGAGTGGCTGTACGAAAATCTCTTTCTTCTCTTTTGCGATAACGGTCACATCTCAAAATGCGATCCATTCTACCATCCCGTTGAGATTTATGAGTTACTACTACCAAGCAAAATCCAGCTGCAATTGCAACCTGTTTTGCCCAATCAATCGCCTGTTGAGCTTCTTCGAATGGACCATCATGTCCAAATATCCCACTGTAATCATTTCCGTCTCCACCATATTCCTGCATCAATTATATATTACAATAAATACATTTAACGGATAATACATTTAATTTCTATATATACACAGAATTAACACAAAAAAAAGCATAATTATATATAATCAAACTTAATTTTTATAAAAACCCAATTCGAATTTTCAAACTAAATTTAAAAATATACCATTTCGAATTTTCAAACTTAATTTTAAAAAAACCTATTTCGAATTTTCAAAATTAATTTAAAAAAACCCCATTTCGAATTTTTTTAAAAAATCATTTTCGATTTTTTTTTTTAAAAAAAAAATAAATAAAAAACAACAACAAAATCAAAAAAGAAAAAAAATAATAATTAATTTATAAGGTTGGCGTCTGCCAGGGCTGCCACAGCCACTGGACTGGCGCCTGGCAGGGCCGCCTCAGCCAGTAGAGTGGCGCCTGGCCAGGACGCCAGTCTGGTGGTCTGGGCGTCTGGGCTGGACGCCACTCTGGTGGTTCTGGCGTCTGGCTTGGACGTCCAGGCTACGGATTGGGCGTCCATCCTAGGCGCCGGAGCCACTCCGACGGTAAACCGTGAATTTTAACGGTGACTTACCTCGTTTTCCGTCGACGACGACGTACCTCCGGCGTCCCCCGCATCTCCGGCCTGCCCTCCGGTCTCCCCCGGCGAGCCAGTACGGCTCCACATTTTTTAAACCGATATTATTTCAATTTTAGAAAATGGGCATAATGGTCACACCAAATCATATTTGTGGGCTTTATATGGTAATTTGCGGGCGATGTTTAGCGTTTCACTAAATAGGCCTCTACTTAATTCTTATGATATTCATGTGCGCTTTTCGATCAACGTAACATACATACATCAAGTTAACCCTAAACATGTTTAATCTACGTTGATTGATTATTAATGGAGAATCAAATCTAATATTGGTGATCACTTGAATTAAAGTCATATTAGCCTAAAATCAAATTATTAATTATCTTATTAGGCGTGATTTCAAGTAAAAATTCCCTTTAAACCTGCAAGAAAGGGGAGTGATCAAGCAATAACAATAAATCATGAATAATCAAGCAACATATAATTAATATAACAATCATCATCAACAACAACATTATCAAAATATCGTTAATAGTAAGATCCTAGGCATGATACTAAACGGATTAATAACAAATCCTAGCATGTCACTAATAATCAAATCAAAGCATTATCCTAAACATGATGCTAGAAATCATAATAAGCATCCTAAGCTTGATACTAGGAATCAAAATAATAATGTAAACATGATTTAATCGAATTACTTGCGTTAATGCCTCAACCTTCTTGTTATTGAAACAATACACACTTTAGTAAACTTTAAGATAGTTAAATCAATGAAGTAAATAAATTAAATATCAATTGAAATATAGATTTGGGACCAAACCCTCAGAACTATCAACCTTTCACGCCAAGGTCGAAAGCAACGTCGAAGATGGCTAGAAGTCTTCGAATCTCGTGAATGAGGTATTGTGACTGATTTGGGAGAATATCAAGGATGTGTTTAGGCTAAGGCTAAAAACATTGGAATTAAGAAAGAGAATTGATGATTGTTGATGATTAGAGCTAGGTGGTTATAGCTTATGATTGATGGTTCTAGCTGATTTGAAAGTGGGGAAAACGATCACTATTTATAAGGAGAAAAGAGAATTGGAGCGATC